ATACTAAAACCCCAAAGATTCAACCAAGAGACTCCTTGACTGATAAGATGAATTGTAAAGTCTCAGGATACAAATCAATACACAAAATCAAGAGCATGTCATATACACTAGCAACAGTAAAAGTGAGAACCAAATCAAAGACTCAATTCCTTTCAAAATAGCAACAAAGAAAATAAAGTACCTTGGGATATATTTAACTAAGGAGGTAAAAGACCTCTATAGGGAGAACTGAAGAAGGAAATAGCAGAGGATGTAAACAAATAGAAGAATATACCATGCTCATGGGTCGGCAGAATCAACATTGTTAAAATGTCTATACTACCCAAAGTGACCTACAGAGTCAAAACAATCCATATCAAAATACCACCATCATTTTTCACAGATATAGAAAAAATAATCTTATGCTTCGTATGGAACCAGAGAAGACCCTTTATAGCAAAATCAATCCTAGGCAATAAAAGCAAAATAGGAGGTATCATTATCAGACTTCAAACTATACTACAAGGCTATAGTATAAAACGGCTTTTTACTGCACAAGAACAGGGACATTGACCAGTGAACAGAGCAGAGAACCAGATATAAACCATCCTCATATACCAACTAATCTTCGACAAAGCAGATAAAAACATACACTGGGGAAAGAATCCTTATTCAATAAATGGTACTGGGAAACTGATACGCACATGTAGAAAGCTGAAAAGACCCACACATTTCACCTCTCCAAAATCAACTCACGCTGGTAACAGACTTGAACCTTAGGTGTGAAACTATTAGAATTCTAGAGGAAAATGTTGGAAATACTCTTCTAGACATTTGCCTAGGCAAAAAATTTAAGAAAGAAACCCAAAGGCAATCACAACAGCACAAAAAACAAATGGGACCCAATGAATTAAAAAGCTTCTACACAGCCAAAGAAACTGTCAAGAGAGCAAACAGACAACCCACAGAATGGGAGAAATTTTTGCAAGCTACATGTCTGATAAAGGGCTGATAACTAGAATCTATTTAAACATCAGGAAAATCAGCAAGAAAAAAAAAACAACACACCTATCAAAAAATGGCAAGACATAAACAGAAACTCTCAAAAGAAGACAGAATAATGGCCAACAAGCATATGAAATGTTCACCATCTCTAATCATCATGGAAATGCAAATCAAAACCACATGAGATATCACTAACTCCACTAAGAATGCCTTTATCAAAATTCCCAAACAACAAATGCTGGTGGATGTGGAGAGAGAGAACACTCCTACACTGCTGGTGGGACTGCAACTTTAGTTCAACTCTGTGGAAAGCATATAGAGATACCTCAAAGCATACAAGTAATCTACCATTGGACTCGGCAATTCCACTACTGGGCATCTACCCAAAAGATCAAAAGTCACTTATGAAGAAGACACCTACACTCGAATTTTATAGAGCACAATTCACATTGCAAAGCTATGGAAGCAACCCAAGTGCCCATCAATTCATGAGTGAGTTAATAAAATGTGGTATATGTATACCATGGAATACATTCAGCTTAAGAAACAATGGTGATATAGCACTTCTTGTATATTCCTGGAAAAAGCTGGAGCCCATTCTACTAAGTGAAGTATCTCAAGAATGGAAAACCAGCACCACATGTACTCACCAGCAAATTGTATTAACGGACTCACACCTAAGGACAATATAGGATAACATTTATCGGTGTTGGGAGGTGGGTGGGGGGAGGAGGGGATGGTGTATACAACCACAACAAGTAAGATGTGCAATGTTTGGGGGATGGGCATGCTTGAAGCTCTTACTGGGGGGGATGGGCATGGCAATATAAGTAACCTAAACTGTACACTAATACACTAAATAAAATTTAAAAAAAAAAAAAAACTGTGAAACCTTCTGTAAGGCAAAAGATTTCTTAGATATGACCCCAAAGTCAAGAATCATAAAAGAAAATAATGATCATTGGACTTCACCACAACAAAAACTTTACTCTTTGAAACAAAGTTAAGAAAAAGAAAAGGCAAGCCACAGATTGTGAGAAAATACATGCAAAACATATATTACGCAAGGGACTTACATCCTAAATATACAAAAAATTGTATAGCTCAGTAATATAAACAAATAAAAATAAACAAAATAGTTGAATAGGCAATACACTAATGAAGGTAGATGAATTTTTAAAAATGAGCCCTCGAAAAGATGCTCAACAAAATTAGTTATTAAAGAAATGAAGTTTAAAAATACAGGGTACCACTGGGCTCCTACTAGAATAGCTCAAATTAAAAAGATTAACAATACCAAATGTTGGTGAATATATGGAGATGACTGGAGCTTTCATATATTACTGGTGGGGGTGCAAAATGCTTCAACCCTTCAGAAAACAGTTTGGTAGTTTCTTATAAAGTTAAAAATACATTTTCTGATATGATATAACTATTCCATTTCTAGGTATGTGTCCAAGAGAAATGAAATCTTACGTTCACACAGACTTGAACAAATATTCAAAACAGCTTAATTCATCATTGAGTGTTGAGCCAGATAAACAAAACAAAACAAAACAAAACAAACAGCTGAATTCAAAATAGCCCAAACTTGGGAGAAGTACAAATGTCTACGGACAAGAGAAAGGATAAATGAATTGGGCACAACCAGACAGTATAATATCTCTCAGTAATATTAATAAAAATGAGCAAACTATTGACCCAGCCATACAGATGATTCTCAAGAACATTATGCAAAGAGAAAGCCAGACACAGAGTTCAGAGTGCATGACTATATTTATATGAAATTCCAAAAGACACAAATATGTAATCAATGGTAGCACAATGCAGTCCAGTGGGCCCCGGGAGCCCAGGTGTGTGGGACAGTCTGTGTTGGAGGCGGCAATTTCTGAGGAGATGGAAATGTTCTGTATCTTGATCATGGTAGTGATAGATAAATGTGTCAAAACTCATCAAAACATCCACTTACAAATGTGTCCATTTTATTGCAAGTAAACTATGCTTTAATAAAGTTGATTTTTAAAAAAGAATCTACGAATAACTCAAGCAAATCAGCAAGAAAACATCAAACAATCCCATTAAAAAGTGGGCAAAAACATGAACAGAAGCTCTTCAAAAGGAGATAGATTAATGGCTAATAAGCATATGAAAAAATGCTCAACCTCTAATCATCAGGGAAATGAAAACCACAATGAGATATCACCCAACTCCAGTAAGAATGGCTTTTATCAAAAAGTCCCAAAACAACAGATGCTGGTGTGGATGCAGAGAGAGAGGAACACTTATACACTGTTGGTGGCAAACTAGTACAATGTCTATGGAAAGTAGTATGGAGATACCTCAAAAAACTAAAAGTAGACCTACCATTTGATCCAGTAATCCTACTACTGGGTATTCACCCAAAGGAAAAACAGACATTTTATTAAAAAAAGACACTTGCACTTGAATGTTTATAGCAGCAAAATTCACAATCGCCATTATGTGGAATCAATCCAAGTGCCCATAAATACATGATCAATAAAATGTGCTATATGTATACCATGGAGTATTAGCCATAAAAAAAGGTGAACTAAGACCTTTTGTGACAACCTGGATGGAACTGGAGACCATCCTTTTAGTGAAGTATATCAAGAATGGAAGAACAAAAACCTTATGTACTCACCATTAAATTGAAACTTATAGATCAACACTTATGTGTACACAGGGTAGTAAAATTCAATGGAAATCAAGCAGGTGAGGGGGGGATGATTAAATTCACACTTAATGGGTACAATGCACACTATATGGGTGATGGACACACTTATAACTTTAACTCAAACTGTACAAAAAAAATTCATGTAACTAAAATGTTTATACCCTCATAATATTCTGAAAATATAAATAGATAAAATCTAAAGTTCAGTTTTGCTCTTGGAGATTTTAGACAAGAAAATTTTATGTTTTTAGAACCATAAATGTTGGCGGATTTCTAAGAACAAAAAACACTGATGTTCAAACTCCATTGCTGAATCAGAATCCTTGGGATGGGTATCCTGGCATTAGTATGTTTCAAATCTCCCCCAGTGGTTATTATGTTCAGCGAGAGTTGAGAACCTCTGGTCTAGGGGCTCTTGATCTTGTAGGGGGTCTATGGATGGCTTCAAAGGGTCTGTGAACTCTCAGAATTCACAAACAAAATCTTGTGGATGTTTAGCAGATCTGGTCCAAACTCCCCGCTGAGGGCAGACCCCAAATCCCTATTCTTGTACCATCACTCAAGAAGGCAGTCCAGACAGGATGACGAGGGCAGCCCATCTACTCTTTTCATGCTGACTGAGTCCCGCCCCTGCCCATAACCATACGGCTGGAGGTAAAGGCACCAAGAAAACAGCTGGCACAGTTGTACTGGTGTAGTACAAGGTACCAATGGAGAGATGCTGGCCTAGCTTACCGCCCAGAGAGACAGGTGCAGGCACTGAGAGGAAGGAGCAATCAGTGTGCTTTGCCTCTGGTCCCTGGAAGGTATTATGTGATGATAAATTAGGGACCTGAATGGTGAAGATCTCCAAAGTGGATTTGTAAATATGCATTAGAATTTAAATGGTCTTACAGAAACATTGACTTGTTTAGGATTGAATCAGGCTTGTTAGTCATCCAGAGGCATTAGTCTGATATTACAGTATCTTCTGTTTACTACCGAGTAGGCTAGGGCAGGCTAACATCTCTGAGCCCGGTTGCCTCATCTATAAATCGGGGTTAATAATACCAGCACTGATGGCTAGCAGAGGGCCTGGCACTCATGTTTTATCCAATAATTGGTGGCTGTTATTATTGTTAATAACACAATTATCAAAATGCAAATATTACGACAAATTATTCTCATATATATCTTACCACACAACATGTTTTTTGATGATAGAGGTGATATCATAATACATTGTGAACTTCTAATTCCCATCCACAGAGCTTGCTGCCAAGCTCTGCACGTGGTATCAGTAAGAACTCAGGTGGAAGTGAATTGAATGCATTACTCTTACCGGATCATTCTGTTCTTTCAAGGGTATTTCAGATCCAGGTTCTGCCTCAAGGCTGACGGAGTCAATGCACTCAGCAAATGTATCCTCAGTCACTTCTCCATTGGGAGGGGGCTCTGTGGCACTGGTGTCTCTGGGCTGCTCAGGATGCCCAGTGGCAGCAGTCTCTGCACCCTGAACAGCTGCATTGTCATGCACTTCTCTGGGGTCAACTGGCGTTGGCTCATTTGAAATTGTGGCTGAATCACAGTGTACGTCTGCATCTTCAGGTAAAGAATCACTATTGGGCATCTCAGTAATTTCTACTTTGTCTCCAGTGGCTAAGGTGTCACCAGCATCATCAGACATTTTATTATCTGTCAATATAATCACAAACACTTTATGCTTTAACCTGAATTCTTAAGCTTTAATTTAAAGCCCTGCAAAATTAAATTAAATCTAAGGCTAAGCTTTAAATTAAATCTAGGGCTAAGCTTTCTTCTACTAATAGGAAACTTTATGCAATCTTGTGGGAGCCTGAATAATGGCCCCAAAGGTATCCATGTCCTAATACCCAGAACCGTGAGTGTTACCTTACATGACAAAAGGGACTTTGCAGATGTGATTAAGTTAAGGATCTGGAGATAGGGGGATTGTTTTGGATTACCTAGGTTGAGCCTAAATGCAGTCACAAGTGTCCTTACCAGAGGAAGTCTTCTCAGACTACAAGAAAGGGTTATTTGATGACAGAAGCAGAGGCTGGAGTGATGCATTTTGGAGATGAAGGAAGGGGCCCCAGGCCAAGGAATGCAGGCAGCCACCAGAACACGGAGAGTGGCAAAGAAACCACTCTCCCATCAGAGACTCCAGAAGGACCTGGCCTGCCGACACCCTGACTTTAGCACAAGGACACTGATTTCAGACTTCTGACCTCCAGAACCACAAGAGAATAAATCTGTGTTGAAATGTGCTACAGCCACAATAGAAAACTAATGCAAACCTACATACAGTGCTATCTTTAAACTTTCCCAGATCTCTTACTTGGCATGAAGGGATATGCACATGGGAACTAAGATATTATCTGTAAAATTATTTAATCTGACTTTGTTAATTATATTTATAGCAATAATGAGAATAAGCATAGGAAATACCCAAGTGCTTATCAAAAAAATACTTGCTACTTGGCTTTGCAATGTCATCAGAGATTCAAAGGGAGAAAGAGACATACATACACATAAGTGTGCTTTGTTGGGGACCAGCTGGTGAAGGCCTGGGACAATAGTTTAGTCAGGGAAACACAAGGATGAAATGGAAAGAAGTGAGTGCTTTGTTTTCATAGCACTTAACACGGTTTCTCATACATAGTGGGAAGCTCAACAAATATGCCTGCTGAGTTACATTAATGTTTGTATAGAGATACTCAGAAGTGCTCTTACAGGAGGTGGTTCCAAATGACTCTCTATTTCCCTATTGTCTTTCTTTTGTTCCCTCACTTCCCAGTTAAATGTTAGAATACATTTTTTTTTTTTTTTTTGAGACAGAGTCTCACTTTGTTGCCCAGGCTAGAGTGAGTGCCGTGGCGTCAGCCTGGCTCACAGCAACCTCATCTCCGGGGTCAGCGATCCTACTGCCTTAGCCTCCCGAGTAGCGGGACACAGGCATGTGCACCATGCCTGGCCAATTTTTTTTGTATATATATTTTTAGTTGGTTCAATTAATTTATTCTATTTTTGGTAGCGACGGGGTCTCACTCAGGCTGGTTTCGAACTCCTGACTTGAGCAATCGCGCCCGCTCAGCCTCCCAAAGTGCTAAGATTACAGGCGTGCGCCACCACGCCCGGCAGAATACATTTTTATAAACAAAAATATCTGCCAGACCTTGAATTCAGTGATAACACTCTTATAAACAAGTCTATGGGTAAGAAAGGCAATGAATGTATATTTCCCTCTACCTGGTATGTTAGGTTTGGATATTCGAGGTTGGCCGTGATGTCGAGGAGTCTGTCAAAGCCAACTGACACAGTAAGGAATGATACAGGCGGCTACTGCACGAAGGAGATATTGTGTTCATGGGAGGGAATGGAATTGGCTCGGGCGGGGGGGGGGGGACTTGAAATCACTGAGAAGTTTAATCAAATCTTGTGACAACCTCTGAGTCAAGACTGGCCTAAGGACATGGATGGCAAACACACCTGTTGGCCAAAACTGCCCTCTGCTTTTGATAAATAAACATTTTATTGGCCCGTTTGTTTACATACATGCTGTTAGGGCTTCTCTAGCACTAAACAAACAAAGCTGAGTATTGTAACACAGATTAGACATACAAAGTTCAAAGCCAAAATATTTACCAATCAAGCCTGTTAAAGAAAATGTGCCGACCTGTGGCCTAGGACGCTGTCCATAAACTTTCATTTATGCCCAGGGGTGTTTTAACATCAGAAGTGCCAGTTTAAAAATAATACACAGGTCTTTAGTAAGCCATTCAAAATTGTAATTGGGTGTGGCCTCTAGAAAGGGTTTAACTACTGTCCTGAGTGCCACTCCAGGGTAAGCTAGTTAGCATAAGGAATATTAGAATCATTTTTCACTGGTGAAATGGAAGGTGTTTAAGATACATGGAAAAGTGAGAAATAATGAACAGGTGCCTTCTGTCCTTCTATGACGCAGAGCAACAAGATAATAAGAGTCCAGCAGCCACTGCCCTTGAGTAGGGTTCCTAGTGCTTCTGGCCAACTGCAGAACTCCAAATCCTGAAGGTGACCTAGAGTCCTGCCCCTAGAACACAGCGCCTAGAAAGGACAGCAATAGAACTTGCAGCTTATCAGGACAGGTCTGCATAACTAAGCCTGGTCGCTCAATATTTGTGTATGTGGCAGAATCCATCAGAGAACTTGGATTCATGGTAATGTAGCTCTTGGTAGTGAGGTCGCAAAGGAAGGAAACCTATAGCCCTCACCTACCTCCTGATGGCCAATCGCCTTAGATCCAGTTTACCTCAAGTGTAGAAAATCACTGCAATAAAACTTGTCTTCTCTGCAGTTGCTCTGTATTCACAGCAACATGAACCATCCTTCAAAAATACCCCCAACGGCCCGGCGCGGTGGCTCACGCTGTAATCCTAGCCCCCTGGAGGCCGAGGCGGGCGGATTGCTCGAGGTCAGGAGTTCGAAACCAGCCCTGAGCAAGAGCGAGACACATCTCTACTAAATACGAAATGAAATTAATTGCCCAACTAATAATACAAAAAAAAAATTAGCCGGGCATGGGCACATGCCTGTAGTCCCAGCTACTGGAGGCCTGAGGCAGGAGTCGCTTGAGCCCAGGAGTTTGAGTTGCTGTGAGCTAGGCTTACCCATGGCACTCACTCTAGCCTGGGAAAACAAAGCGAACTTCGTCTCAAAAAAAAAAAAAAAAAAAAAAAAATCCCGAAAAGCAGCTGTAAGTGTTGAATGATGTTGCTAAAAAATTATGGATAACTCATAAATTCAGAAGACTAGATTTTTATATTATTTAAATATAAAAATGGTTACCATAAGATGAGCCCTATTCAACTTTATTTTGTATATCTCTAATCTATATTACTTCTACCTGTTACAGGTTTAATTTCCCAAAATCAAAAAAAAATCTTTGTTCTGGTAACTTTATCGACTGCGGATGCTACGTGATGGGGGGAAAGGTAATCATCTTTACGACTGCTCCATTTGTGTAACCATTAGAAACTGTGTTCGAATACGCAGCTGTCTCTGTTCACGGACCGCTGGAGTGCACCAGGATCCAGCTGCGATTTGCACTGCGTTCCCCGGGGTGGTCCCTTCTCGGTCTGAGAGCCCCCATAAGCAGTTCGGCACTTAGAGCCCCTTTCCGATTTGTGGTTTGGAATGTTGTGCACTGCACCACATGTCCATGGCTGTTGAGGCACGTGAGAACTCAATCACAGAAACAGGGAGGCTGCTTCCAAGGAGAGAGGGTGCCGCATATAAACCAGAACCTTTGTAGCTGGGAATAAATTAGCTTCTCAATAAATATGATCATGTCATTCACCAAAAGATCTACCAGAACATTAACAGCAACCTTAGAGGTCCCAACAAATAAGTGTCAACAGAAACATAAATGTCACTATCCTTCAGAAGTGAATAACCTAGTGCTACACACAACAGTTAAAGCCTAAAAATGCAAAACGCAATCGGAAATGGATATGATGTGCTGAACCAGACTGACCATGTCCAAGGGGAGAACACCTGAAAGTGGCTGTGATATGGTACCTGGTATCATGGACAAGAAGCCGCTGCGCAATGCCAGCCATCAGCAAATTATTCTAGACCCACTAGGACAACATCGTGTGAGCAGGAAAGAGGCTGCACGGAGAAATAACACCAGGGCTGGTACTGTGAGCTAAGAGGCCATCGCGCCTCCGGGTCAACACCGCGTCGGCCTTCGGTCCCTACTGTCCCTTTGCAGGCGGACAGCCTGCTCATTCAACCCTGGCTCTCCTCTACAGCGAGGCTGGACAAAATGTCTCCCTGTACTTTGTTCGCAAACCCCCAACCTCGCAGGACCGGCCAGACACAGAGATAGATAGAGAAAAATGAGGACAAGAGTGATGCACGTTTTCATAAATCTAAATTATTAAGATGTACAGACTCTTCACCCTTACAAGTTTAGCCTTTGTGCTTTTCTTGTATTAAAATAGCTTTCATTTATGTAGTATGGGTGACAGTGGACGGTGTTTTAAAAATGGCCTCAATTGGCAAAACAGAAATTTGGTGAGATCATCTTCCCCAATTAAAAAAGTGCCAGTCAGTGAAGGGCCAGGAAGAAAAACGCGGAAGCGCGGCTGAGCTGGGCACACAGTTCCCATGAAGCCACCGCAAGTGCGAGCCAGCCCGCCTGAAACCGAGCGGGCCGACCTGCTCCCTTGTTGAAAGCCTTTAGGTCAGACACCTTCGCGCGCCAGCTACGCAGCGTATCCGTCCGCCTGCGATCTCCGGCCCTCCACTCCGCCGCTCCGCGCCGGCCTCCGCCGCCCGGTCCGCGCCGGCCTCCGCGCCCCGGCTCCGCGCCCCGCTCCGCCTCCGCCGCTCGCGCCCCGCCGCGCCCCCGCCGCCCTGGCAACTCGCTCCTCCAGAACACCCGCTCGCGTCACGCACTCTGAACGCCCCCTCCGCTCGCCCCCCTCGCGTCAACCGTCCCTTTTCTGTTTCGGGCCCGCACCGGACTGCGGGCTGGAGGACTCGCTCCTGCGTCCGTCCGCGGGACTGTGGCCGACTCCGCGCATGTGCCCGGGCCGAAAGACGCCCTGCTTGGCATCAACTGAAGAAACGCTGCTTGACAGAGTCCTGGCCTTACAAAGTGAGGGCGCGACCTTTGCG